CTCTGCCCTTCAGGTGCTCCCAGCTGCACAGTGGGGCTACAGACACCATGTATACCTCACCTGTGCTAAACTACCTGGATGGGAGCTAAAAGGCCCAAAGCACCTTGTGTTTGTGCCTCCAACACATCTCACATGGGGCTGCTAGGAGCCTGCAGAGGCAACACAGTGCTGCCTGCTCCAACAGCCTCATACCTGCTCCAGGCAGCAAGGAACAGCTCCGTGTTCCCACAGCCCAGACAGGACGGCTCTTGCAGGGTGAGCAGGCAGCAGGATTAACCCCACACAGGGAGGACACCACCAGTCTCCTGCAGCAAGACAGGGATTTTGCCAGAGACACAGAGAGGAACCTCTGAGCACAGGGGGCAGCCAAAACCAGCACTTGCTTCTGCAAGCCTCCCCAGCACGCACAGGGCAGAGGAAGAGCTGCATCCTTGGACGAGAACCATATTTATTTCACTGACACAGAATTGCACTGGTGGTCGATTCTAAACACACCGGGGACGGGCAGCAGCAGGGCCCCACAGGCTGGGCCAGGCTGCTGAGAGCAGGATTCACACAGAGAAATTTGCTTTTTTCCGAGGGGCCGATGGATCTGCGGGACGGGGCTCTACGCAGTCAGGCTCCTGCTCCTGCCGCCAGGCACCTCCCGCCCCAATCACGTATAGAAACATTAAATAAGTATATACAGAACCTCTTGGGGCGGGCTGGAACACACTGGGTTCGACAGGGCTCAGTTGCCCATTTTTACTTTAGATGTCTGGAAAGAAAGAGGAGAGGTTAGGCTGTGGCCCACAAACCCTAGCCCAGCACCCCGGTCCCACCCAAGCACCCCAGGACCGTTCAGAAGCTGCAAACAGCTTATCAGCCCCACTGGTAAGACATGAGCTTCACACAAGGTGCACCCAAGGTGACACCCTCGGTGACAATTGCTCAGAGGGGCCATCAAAAGGGTTCAAGCTGCTGCAAATAGGCACAGTATGCTGTGGGGAGAGCTGTGCCATCCCATACCTTGTGAGCAGCCTCCCTATCCCAATGCAGAAGATTGTGCTGAAGCCCAGGTGTGCCTCCCCGGAGCCAGAGAGCATGCACCAGACAGGCACCTTATGCTCACAATAAGCTTGGTGGCCTCATGAGACACGTACCTGCAGGATAGCAACGATGACCCCAAACAGCCCTATGGCACTGCCAAAGATCTCCACAATCAGGATCTTGACGAAGAGGCTGGCATTCTGGGCATCAGCCAGGGCAGCCCCGCTGCCCACGATGCCCACACAGACCCCACAGAAGAGATTGCATAAGCCCACGGTCAGACCAGCCCCAAACATGGAGAAACCTGTGAGAGAGGAACACTGCAAGAGCAAGGGGTAACCCCCCTTTCCCTTGCACCCAGGGCATGCTGCAGCAGCTCTGCCTCTGACAGAAGACCTAGAGCTTCCAAGCCCCAGCACTGTCCTCCTGTTTGGGGAGCAGGACTGTTCCAGGGTGTGCCCCAGCTCCCACAGTGCCAGGGCAGCAAGGGACAGCACCCTGCTGCCACCCAGGGGAGGAGCAGTGCAGTGTTGGGCAGCACAGCCCAGCAGGGTGCAGAAGTAACTAAATAGCTGCCTTTTGGCAGAAGAGTCACATGTCCTTCAGACACCTGCAGCAGGACACAGGTCGGTCAGAAGGTGGTGCTCAGGGTGAGACAGTGCTCACAGTGATGGCACCAGGGACCCAGCAGTCCTTACCTGCATGGTAGTTTCTGGCTCCAATCTCTTCTGGGATGACTGCAGTGAAAGGCTGAGAGAAAGCACAGGACCTGGGTTAGTGACAAGTCTGTGGTCTCTGGGAGAGGTACCTGTCCCCAGTATAACATGAGGCAGCCATATTTTGGCCACAGCCCTGACTCCATGTCCCTGGCTGGCTTCATGACATCTGCCTTGCATGTGCTCCCCCAACACTCTTCAGAATGGACAAGGATCACCACCACTCCAGGGGCTCCCAAAGCCACAACAGTGTCCAAAGTCCCCACAGGGCCACCACTCACAACCTTTGCCCATGACCAGTTGCCCATCCCCACCACAGCCCCGAGGCTGGCACAGGGCTGGCAGGGCAGCCCAGGTGCTCCCATACCTCAGCCATGTTACTGATGACAATTGCCATGATGATCCCGTAGATGGCCACAGCCTCGCAGAAAATGATACTGTGGGAGAAAGGCAAAGCCTGAGCACAGTGTCCCAGGGGAAAGACCCCACCCCAAGCAGCCCATGGCATTTCATGCCCAGCCAGCCAGCAACCAGACCCCTTCACAGCCATATGGGAAAGCAGAAAGGCAGTCCAGCCTACCCACTACTTTCCTCTCAAACAAGGGGGAGCTGCCAAACACAAACAGGTTGTGCTATGGCACCTGAGTAAGCTGGGAATGCCCTGTGGGAAGCAGACCCAGGGAGCCCTGCCCTCTGCCAGTCCCTTTCTGCTCCTTGGGGAAGGGTTGTGCAAGGAGAACCCTTGTCTGGTTGGGAAGTGTGATCTCAGGGTGTTTGTTTTGAACACACTGGGCTCATTCACTGTGTGATATCACACAGTGACTCTTCAAAGCAGCACTCTGGCTCCTTTAGGGCTCTTTGTTTTGAAAGCAAACAGCATCAGCAGCTCAGCAAGGAATGGTCTGCCAGCAGCACCCAGCAGACATTGGACAGAAGCCTCTGCACTGGCTTGGGACCCGCCTCACTCAGGTGCAGCACGAGCACTAACCCCAGGTCTGTGCTTACCTGACCAGGTTCTTCGTTTTGATCCGAGGGGCTTTGACTCCACCACCAATGATGCTGGAGCCTGTGATGTAAATCCCCCTGTGGCAGACAAGGGTGGTTGGTGGAGTCTGGCACTCACAGAGAAATTCTACAGGGAAACCAGGATCTTCCAAAAAGAATTGGGCATGCAGCTGGGGGACACTGCGGAGCTGGCCTAGCCACCCCAGGGTACAAGAGGTCCCAAGCTCCATCACCTACACCAGCAGAACTGCTGGGGCACAGGAGCCACCACAGGACAGCCTGGGCAGGGGTACAGCTTCCAGAGACTTTCCTGTCTTTCCACTGCCATTGCTGCCTGCAAGATGGTCCGCCCAGACTCCCCAGGGGCCCACCAGTCCAGCCCCTCTGCTGTGGTGACCCACAGCCCTACATGTGCACATTGTCCTATCCCTGCTCTGCTGTGGGAAAACTGCAGTGCAGACATAGCTACTGAGGTGGGACAGTGGGAGAATGCTAAAGAACCAGTTCCACTCACCAGGCAGCTCCCACCACAGACAGGGAGATGGCCAAGCCAATGCCCAGGTTGGACCACATGAAGGGTGAGGTCTCCGTCAGAAACCTGGAGAGGAAGAAGTGTCCTGAGTTAGCACACAAGCTGAGCCCCCATAGTCATGCCACACAGCTCCAAAACAGACACCCTTCCACCAAATTATACAGCCCAAGACGGGTTGGGCACCCAGACACTGGGACACGAGAGCCTCTACCAGCCAGCAACACAGGAGCCTCACCTGCATGGATCAAGATCTTCCTCCCAAACCCTCACTGTGAAGTGGAGGCCTGGGCTGGGAGATGTGGAGGGCAGGGCAGTGATGGCTGCACCAGGACCCTGTATGGAGCCAGCCACATGAACACATGGGCTGCATTTATCCCACCTCCAGAGGCCCCGCTCACTGTAGCTCCTGTGATGAGCTGTCCATCGCTCCCTGTTCCCCTGGAGGCACTGCCAGCACCACCCACTTCTCACACAGCCCCAAGGATGCCCGTATTTACAGGGAACTCACCAGGCCACATCAAAGCGGAAGCCCAGGTCAAATATTGTGTAGCAGATCCCTGGAAAGCAAAAACAACATGGAAACCTTCAGAGAGGCACCTGGTGCTGCTGCTTCCTCCCTGACCTACAAAGCCCTGGGGCAGAGGCCCAGGAGCACAGCACAGCATGCAGAAGGATTACTGGGAAGACTGGCATGCAGAGCTGTGAGGCAAGGTGTCCCCTCCAAGTCCCCTGTTATCCCAGCACTTCTGCATCAGCATAGGACAGGCAGCCCAGTCCTGTGATACTCCCAGATCCCATCCCCGTCTTGCGATTGCGGTGGTTGTCACACCCATTTCCTATTCCCTCGCCCTGCTGAGCTCCCATACACCATGCTGGGCTGCAGGGTCTCCAGGGCAATCCATATCCTGGTGTCCCAGCACAGTCTCCACCCACATCACCCAATGGCTCAGCTCTGCTGGAGAGCCAGGGCATGGGGGACCAGCTGTGAGCTCTTCCCTGTCACAGGAGAGGCAAGAGGAGGCTGTGCCCTGACTGACCATCTCGTGCTGCTCCACCATCATCACACCAGGGGCTGTGCTGCTCCCCAGGAGCCTGTCAACACCAGAAGCTCCAGCTGCCCCCAGCACCTCCTTTCCAAGGGTGTGGGTTCAAGACATGACTCCTGTCCTCTGCATTTCCCCCAGGGTTAGTGATTTTCAGATAAATTTGTACACCAGCACAGGCAGGAGACACCAAAGCGCACCCCTGAGAAACCCAGAAAAGCCCTTCCTTCCCAGGAAAGCAGGGAGCACTGTACCCTGAGTGCTCTTCTCCCACATGGAACTGCAGCTGGGAGTCGTCCCTGTGCAGCCCAGGCACACGCAGAGGTGCGAAACCCACCCACAAACTCTGCCTTGCTCTGAGCTTGTGAGCGGGAAACACGGCTGCAGAACAGGAGAGACACCTGCTCTTTGCTGGAAAGGAGAGGGTGACCTGGCCCTAAGGAACAGATAAGTGCAGGCAGCGTCTGCTCCACACCAGATACAGAGGGTGAAGGGACGGCTCTGCCATATCTGGCCGGAGCCAGTGCCTGTGTGACACTGATCCTTCGTATGGCCACGAAAAGAGGAAATGGGAGACTCCTGGAATGCCTGAATGCAGCAAAGAGGTCACGGCACGTGCCCCACTGCTCCCTTCAACCCCAGAGCTGCAGCCTGGAGGCAGGGGGTGATTGCAACATGCCCAGCAGAAATGTGAGGGGCAGGACCCAGGTTGGAGGAGCCCTATCCTGCACATAGCCAAGACCTGCAGGACAACTCATCCCACTGGGAGATGTGGAGGGCAGGGCAGTGATGGCTACACCAGGACCCTGTATGGAGCCAGCCACATGAACACATGGGAGCCCTTGGCGCTGCAGTGCAGGGAGACCCTCGCAGCAGGGATGTCCCCGTCATTCCTGTGTGCTAAGCCCCTCCATGTGCAACTCAGGGCTCAGTACCCCACTCACCAGAGCACACAAGCACTGCCAGACAAGCCAGCCAGCCCCAAAACGGGAGGCAGTACTGCTGGTCCTCTCCTTCTGCCTGCAGAATTGGGGTGCCCCCCTCCCCTGCAGCGACACACATGGATGAGGAATGGTGCCACCATGGCCAGGGAGGACAGAGGGAGGGCACAGCCCAGCCCTGGCAACCTTCAGGGATGATTCCTACAGTGACACAGCCTGTGACTTGTGTTTTGGCTTTGCTGCTTGGGTGGCAGAGCAAGAACTGAACCCAGCCAGCCCCAGCTGCCTCCACTCCCAAGAAGCAGTAAAGAAGGGCTACAACCAGCTCAGGGCAGATCCTCAGTCCACCTTTAGTCTCTCTGAGAGCAGGTGTAGCCTTAAATCTGTATGTAAAAGAAACAGGGTGAAGGACACTTTCCTGTGAACTCTGGCTTCCAGCTCTGCAGCCAGAAGGACAGAAAGGAGAGGGCAACAGGACTGGAGGATCAAATCAGGGCTTAGGACAAAGACAGAAAGCACAAGGAGGCACTAATGCAACACTGCAAGAAGCAAGACTGTTTCCTGCTCACATCTTCCTCAAAAAGGAACTGCAACAGGACAGGGGAAGTTAAGAGCATCTGGGCTCAGCTTGGGAGATTTTCCGACAGTCTCACGGTCACAGTGTGCATCTACACTGGTGTGAGCCACATGACTCAGAGAGCCCAGTGAGGCAGCCCTGGGCCCACACTGGATTCACCAGACCCTAGGAACACGAGGGAGTGAGGCACCCTTTGCTTCTGACTTTTTCTCTCCCCTCACCCAAACACTGAGGCAGGAGCCAAGGTCTCCCCAGCCTCTGCCCGGCTCGTGATCGCTTTGGTCTGTGCTGAAAGAGGAGATAACCAGCAGTCCCAGCACAAAATCTACCTGCTAGCCCTAAGCCATTAAATCCACCCTCAGTGCTGCTGAGCCCAATGCCATCAACAGCAGGGCTGCCACGAGCGGCAACACGGCCACGCACCAACTCCACAATCACCCAGACAAACTCACACGGTCTCTAACGTTGCCACAGCTGGGCAAAGCAAGGCGCTCTCTCCACCAAGGAGACAGCAACTGCCACGGTCTGAAGAGCCAGGCTCCTGCCTTCACCTCCCCTCATCTGCCAAACCGAGACACAATCCCAGCACCATTCTGCTCTCGCACACGCAGCGATAGCGAAATTCAGACTGTCCGGCCAGTTCAGGGCTCAGAGAGTTGGACGCTGCACATCCAACAGCGACTGCGAGTGGCGCGGCCCTGCCGGGGTCCGAGCCCTCCGAGGGAGCAGCTCAGGCGGTGTCCAGGCTGGGCAGCCCCCCAGCCTCGCTCCCGGCGCCACGGGGAGCAGCTCAGCGACCGGGGGCCTGAAAACCTCTC